TCATAACCAAAGTAATATCTGAAAACATACACAGATACATAAAATAATAGTGATATAACATGTAAGATGCATCTTAAATATGCAATAAAACGATTACATAAAGGATGACAGTAAATTGCGGCGACAAAGGAAAACAAACTATTTTAACTTCATACATAGGAAAAGTTCCACTCTAGCTTTTCTTCCTGTCCACCTGACCATTCAACTTCATTTTGCTTTAGTCAAAGTACTAAGTTCTGCATTTTTTTTATCTAAAATTTGAACTAATTTTCTTCAATACTCAATGTGTATATTGTACATAGAAAAGGAAAAACGGCCGTTCCTAGTCAGAAATTAATACAAGCGTTACTGACAGAATAGCATTTTTATATCTTTATGCAAATACGATGTTAATGGCTTCGCTATGAAAATGCATAAAAAAACCCAAAAAGAAACATACTGTTAGTGATCAGAAATTCATGAAAGCGTTTCAGACAGAATAGAGCTTTTATATTTATAAAGTTAAAATGCGAGTTTGGGTTTTATGGTGGATGTCATGAGTTTCATATTTGCTTTTAAGAGCAACAGAAAAACTAAAAATGTGTTAACAGGTTTCTCTTTTTCTTAAGTCAGAGAAGGTAAATGACCTTGTGTCGAAGTTTGTTTTTTTTTTATGACGAAACACAAAAGGAATTCAGGAATTTTCAAGCAGAGAATTCCGTTCATTTTTTGTTTTGTAATTTGAACTCTGACTGCAAGATTGGAATAATCTTTTAAAAATAACCACTCATAAAAAAAATCAGTTCATTTCGCTTATGACGACAGTCAAATTGCATTTTTTTTCTTTCTTTTTTTTTTTTAAATTTTCGAGGTGTGAAGTAGGTCAGAAGGGTAACAGCCCGATAGACGGAAACAACAAAGTGTTCTGTTTTTACACCACACAAAATAATGGGTGGCTGCTCGTTTCTGAGCACACTTACACGAGTGGCTGTCTAACCTATGCTGCAGACGCCTGCTCGGTCATGTTTTGTGTCCCTTCTACAGAGCAGTTCATGTTGAAAATATGCAGTTTCTATTAGAACTGCAACTGTTACTGTTTCTGAGAGAGAACGCATTATCTGGTGTCATCTTGAACAAGACCAAAATACTCAATCCCTCGGTCACGATGACTTGTGACTGTATAGCATAGTTTTCAGGTATCTAACCTCTACCGTAATGGTGGATCGTCTCCGGAGGCAGGTATTATAGAGGAGAGAGAGAGAGAGAAAGGGAGAGAAAGGAAAGAGAAAAAAGGGATAGGAGAGAGAAAGGAAAGAGAAAAAAGGGATAGGAGAGAGAGAGGAAAGAGAGGGATAGGAGAGAGAGAGGAAAGAGAGGGATAGGAGAGAGAGAGGAAAGAGAGGGATAGGAGAGAGAGAGGAAAGGGAGAGGGAGAAAGAAAAGAGAGGGGGAGGAAAGAGAAAAAGAGAGAGAGAAAGAAAGAAAAAGAGAGCTTGTCAATTCTGTCATGGAGCCCAGACTGGATAACATGGAAAAATGTGATAGCAATCTTATCCTTCGACCATTTTAGATTTACTCTCCCACCGACCCATTAAAAACGTCATGTGACGTTTTATTAAGTTACAATGTCTACAACTAGTTTATTCGTGACGGCGTGGAAGAAATTGATATTTTAATTTACTATTCTTAGGTTTTCATATGTGAGTCTTTTTTAAATGTCTTTTTTAAATGTCTTTTTACATTTGTTATTGTCGTACTCTACTATTTCATGGAGTCGGTATTTTCACCTCCCGCTGATGTAAACATAACCGAACAACTTGTCTTTCTCATAAAGACACTGCCACCTGGTGGTATCAATTAATAAAGCTTGTTTTGTACAAAAAAACATTTAACGTATTATATAGCATATAGATGTTTATATAACAAGGATTTTTGCGATTTTTTTATACTTACACATCAATTATATACTATACCTAAATGAATAAAAAATATATAGTTTTATATCCACCGTTTATATAACCTGTCATATCACAAATGGGATTTATTATTTCGTTTAAATAGCAAGGTAGACATGGTTCGATAGCTGTGAATAAGGCAACCGGATGTTACACGATTCACTTTCACCTTTAAGATGTCATGCCATTTTTGCATTACAAGGAATTTGTTGAGATCCAGGATTGATTATATCCTGAAAGGACATGACTTACAGAAAAATGATTACATCTTAGTGAACCAACAAATCGTAAGTGTATATCGAAAAACATGTTCTGTATATTTCTGAGATGACGTATTGTAACTATTTACATCATACGAGAACTTAAAGAATCAGCACGTATGTTAGGCCACAAAAAAATCTAAGCCGGCCAGGTCTAGACATGAGTACAATATGGGAATCAGTAATACAGACAGCTTGAGAAAAACAACAAAACATGTAAAAAAAGAATATGATGGCCAAAATATTAGTTTTATAAGTCTCAAAAATTCACTTGGAAGTATACAATGGATGAAAGCTTTGATCCAGTGATACAAAATTGACTTGGCTCAAAGAGTTGAGTTTAATACTTGGCCACAACAGAGGGAACACAAACTTGAAGAGTTGAGTTACTGAAACCGAGTTATCCCAAAATGGGCTAAATTTTGGTTCGAAATTCCAACGTATATCGCCTGAAGAAAGCCGGGGATTAGAACGGCCGAAACTTCGTGAATATTGCAATAAAGATGATGACAACAGTTCGAATGCTGTAAATATGAAAACAGGTTTTAAGATGGAAAACATGGAGTAGTGAAAAATGCCTTCCATTTAAGAAACAAAAAATTTAATATCTGACATGAGGAATTACTGTTATTTACACTATTTATATTTTGGGACTATTGTTCTCATCTTTGTTGTTGTTATCACACCGTTTCGGTGTATATCGATCTGGGTAAATAAAATCGTTAGGAACAAAAAAAAATGTGTTGAACTGTTTTAGAATATCAGTCCTGCATGACAGTGAATTCTTGACAATTTCTTGAAAGTTGAAGATGAGACGTTGGCCAACAGAAATGAAGTTCTAAAGAATGATACTAGAAATACCATGAACGGAACAGGTGAGAAAGAAATTTTAAGAACAACAGCAAAAAAAAAAAAAAAAGAAAGAAACTTGTACTTAGAATCGAAGAGAGAGAGATTTCTTGGGCCACGTAACCAGGAAAAAAGGGAGTGGAGAATTTGACACTCAACCTACTAAAGACAGGACAAAAGGAAACAGCTTGTAACCAAAGTAACTTATGTAAATGGATGGGCGAACAGGAACTGGTACAGATAGTAAGAAAACTGTATATATATATATATATATATATATATATATATATATATATATACATACACACTTAGAGCTATAAAAAAAATAGTGGAGAGCCATGATCACCCACGCCCTGAAAGCACACGACACATAAACGATATAGAAATTTGACACGAGTCAAAATTTCACATCGTACATTTAACATATAAAAACATATAGAAAAGAATTTTTAGAAGCCGATCTATATTCTAAATATTTCCTCCAAAACCAACGCTTTGAGGGTAGAAGGTATATTTTGTCGACCCGAATAGTTCGTACTTGGATTTGCAATGAACCACTGTTGGTGGGTGCTGGTCTGTGCGCCACAAAGTAAAAGGTCATTTCCATTACATAAAGTGAAAAAAAAAAGATCCACGTCGTAAAAAGCATGTCCGAATTTATTTGAAATGATTCTGCTATAGAATTGCAGCGAATTCTTTCTTTAGAAATATATCGCGGATTATTTTAAGACCATAGCGGAACCTCTGTTATCGAGCACCCTGGTAAATATGACGATTCGGTTATCGTCCACTTTATTCGGTGAAAATAATTCTCGGAAATTGTTGTACATGTCCTCGGTTAGCGAGCAAAGAAATGTCCGTTACGAACCTGTATATTCAGGTTCTCTTGCTGCCACGTGACTTCTCCGCCAATCACAAAGTGACAGAAGAGAAATAACCCCGGAAAAAAAGAAAATTTACCTGAAGTCTTTATTGGGAGAGATTCCTCTTCCAAACAATAACACCTTTCCTCCTTCACCACATGTCTTACATACGCCAACGAATCTTCAATAAAAGATTCAATGTTCATTAATTCTTTATGTCATGCATATCTTACTATTTTCTGCATGCAAAAACTAGAGTTATTCTGTATAAAATGTATTTTTTGTTAATATTTTTGGGTGTGTGGAACGGATTCATTCGATTATTTCTTATGAGAATATTACCTCGATTTTCGCGCATTCCGGTTTTTGGACGACTTTTTCAACGGGTTATGGCCGATAGCAGAGGTTCAACTGTAGTTTATATGATCTGTGATCTAAAACTGGAGTTATTAAAAGAAAAGCGTCAATATTTTCACTTCATTTCGTGAGACAGAAAAGGGAAAAATGTTGCTATATTAACATAGAGACATGAAATTCTTATACAGTGACAAGGTTATTAGTTGACGGAAAATTCAGGCAGTGTCAATCAGAAGGTTTTAACTCTTCAATATTAATGTGCTAAAATGCAAATTAATACTGAATACGCGTTACATACACACACAAATACAGAGGGTATTTCAGGGAAATTGATATTTTGTAACTTATCAAGTAACTTAGATATCCAAATAAGAGAAACTTCGTAGCATTTACTTTTTTAAAACGTGCTCAATACAAAGTAGAGCAAAATATTATAATATATTATTAAAATATTATAATGATAACTTAGTTAATTTAGTAACTGTTATCTGATATATTGGCCAATTCTCATTGAAAGCATGTTAAATTTTAACTGAATATGTAGAAACAACACCCTATTCTATGTTTAACTTTCTCTTTTCAGGTATAGAAATGCCATTTATTGGAAAAGAAAAGGTGTTTTGTATGTTAGATTACTTGAACACAGTCAAAGACTGTGCTGCGTGCATTCGTGAGAGAATTCGCTAAAAATGCACCAATTCTAATACAGATGTGGACATGGCACTAAAATTTCCGGCTTACGGCCACATCACATTGAAACACCGGCTCCCGTGGGAACACCGGAGTTAAGCAACGTCGACCTGGTCAGTACTTTGACAAGTGACCGCTTGGGAATACCAGGTTCCGTAAGGTGAAATGTGTGGGTGGGGTAGTGTATAATGGCTCGGAATTGTTAATCGTCGAGCCGAGTTTCAATTGGGTTCATTATATTCACTTACGCGCAAATACTCTTGGGAAAAGGCATGAACCCACCTCTTCTCCCCTACCAGCTATGGGTTAATTAGTAAGACTAGTTCCACTAAACCATTATCTCCAAAAATAAAATAAATACAATTGCGTAGAAAATATTTACATTTCGGGATTAAATAACCCATAAGGGTTGATATACCGCTAAACAAAAACAACTAAAAGTTCAAAGATCAAGGCTGCCTGTGCTGGACTAACAAGTTGACGAGTGCCTGGTCACAAGCGGTGCGCATATTGAAAACTTTTGAAATCGTTCATGAAATCCACGTACTTGTGAAATTGTCAAATTTTGATGAATAAATTTATTTTGATCAGCAATAAGCCTGTTTAGTTTCATTTTCATAGACTATGTAGTTACTCAGATAGTTACATCCCAAATAAAATATTTTTGAAACACCCTCTGTGTGTGTGTGTGTGTGTGTGTGTGTGTGTGTACAGATTTTCCAGTATCCTGGTCTCCAAAACCCTGCCGAATCAAGAGTAGTTATGTAATAATAATTTAATATGCCCCATGGACCTAATAATCATGAATCTTTATAGCATCTTTGACTGTTAGAACTTGTATTAACTATTAGCAACATCACCCACTGTGCCCGCTCAGTAAATTAGTCCGACAATTAATTGAAATTTAAAGGCATGCTCGTAACTTTGTCCGGTTTAGGAAAGGGTCCTAGATCATCAGTTACCAAAAATCGGTACACGACCTCTGCGCCTGTATGTGTGTGCGCGCATACATACACACACACACATCACGAGAGGGTGGTGAATACCTCGCGCTCCGAACATGAAAAAAAAAAATTAAATCCGATTTTTCGAAATAAAGTCGAGCACCCAATTTGGTAGGTGTGTTCTGCTCCAAAAGTAATCTCCAGTTTTATTAGGCCGGCAGTATATTCGTATAGGTTGAAACTTCCGCCAGTAACCCATATTTTTTGTTTGCATCTTATAGACAGCAACTTAAGCGGTAATCTAGTAAAGTGGCATCTGACATAAAAGTCCGTCGAAAAAAAAAAATGTCATTGAATTCCTCCACGGTGAAAAAAATAGTATATCCATCAACGCTTGCTAAGCGTGTACGGAGTGGAAACAGAGGCGGTGGGTAATGCGTTTCAACAGCGATGTGTTGAACAAGCCACGTTCTGCAGGACCTGAACAAAATGAAAATGGACTCGACAAAGGCATAGCCAAGGATTGTACCTAAGTGGACAAAGGTGTCTTGTTGCTGAATAGTTGTT